GTGCTTTTCCGCTCTGCCGCGTCTGATTCAGCTTGACAATTATCTGATGAGTTCTCTTGAATGCGCTAAGTGAGTTGATCACATCTGCTCCAATCTTAGCTGATTAGCGAAGAGCAGGAATCTAAAGTTGGCTTCTTTAGTTCTGCACTGTGGCTGCGAGTCTAATGTAGCTGACAAGTAATAGAAGTTTGTATCTGTCATGCAAACTGCATGCCTTACACTCGCCTCAGATCACACAAGGGCGTGTAACAATACACAAAGTGGTGTCTTGGTACAAAATACAGCATAAATATGTGCATTATTATATGTGAGCCTGAATATGTGCATTTTGTCCATGTTAATATGCTAATATATGCAGAGTATAGAATTCATTCACACTAGGGTTCATGGTTTAGTACAATTTTCGATTCTGAGATCAAGGTTAAATTCAGTTTTCAGTATTTTGTGTTGGCTGTTTTATACTGTGGAGCTCTAATTAATAATGATATTACTGCAGATACTGATTTGGCTCAGATTAATAAATAATTCTCAAATCTAACTTTTTCAGTAATCCTTTGCTGTGTAATGTTTGACGTAAGCTTCCATTAACATGTCATGGCAGAGGTCATATGTTGTCATGACCTGTTTATAACCAGTAATTGTCAAGACTGATGTCATGTTTGGTGTCATTAAGGCTAACAAAAGTACATTCAGCAAAATTAGCAGCTGTTAACATTAAGCTCTCTGTCATGACTGTTAGCAGTAATGGTAACATGACACTGTTGTATTACTGAATAAAATCTGTCGTGACTTCTCAGGATCGCATATGATGTGTTTAAGACATACTTATGTCTCTGTTACGCAGCAGGGTTCAAGTACACTGTTAGAAATAAAGGTTCTGTTCGGGTACATTTTTCATTCATCAGTGTACAAACAATGTAAATGTTCCCTCAAATGTACAACAGTGGTTTTAAGGTCCAATTGTGTACCTTAAATAAGTTTTTCCAGGTACAAAGTACATATTTGTACCTTTTTTATAAACTAATGTTTTAAAACAGAACAATAAAATAAAAAGCCTGGAGACGAGACGGGGTGTGTGGAGTCAGTACAGTTAAGAAAATATCATTTCAATGGATTATGGTACAGTTATGTTCCCTGACTAAAGGTACTGAGACGTACCCTTGAAGGTACCACCCCAGTGACAAGAGGGGTACTGCCCAAGTGATAGTTTCAGACCTTTTTTTTCTGGGAGTGTAAAGTGTTATCACTTTTTAAATACCTGCTGTGCAACAAAGTATCCCCCAAAAATCACAACCCCTAGAATCTATGAGCTCTTCAGTCCAGTCATTTGACTGTGGGTATGTGCATAATATAAACCTGCCCCACCATCCCACCCACCTTACTGTGATAGGATACATCAAGGTGATCAGTTTTGGTCGTTGATGAAAGATGGTAAATGAGAGATGCTCAGAAGAGAGCAAGAGGCATATCTGTGATAGTTTTACATTAGATTGTTTCAAACTCGACTTTTCAATACTGTATTGAAATTGTTCCAGCCTTAGACCACACAGTGTTAAATCATCTCATGTAGCCGTATGTGGTTTCTGACACTGTCTGACTGAAGTCATCTGTACTTTTGTCTGTTTTTGGATAACAATGTGGCATACTGTTTCACAAACCACATGAGCAAGTCTGTTTGAGATTACTCAAAGTAGCTAACGTAATGCATTGTGCCGTGCATGCTGACCTGTCACACACTTGACTCAGAGTGGCTTGGACGTGTATTTATGCATGCACAGTACTCTCAGAAATAAAGGTACTAAACTGTCACTGGGGTGGTACCCTCAAGGGTACATCTCAGTATCTTTAGTCAGGGCACACAATTGTACCATAATCCTTGAATATATATTTTTTTAAGTTGTATTGACTCCACACACCCCATCTCGTCTCCAGGCTCTTATTTTATTGTTCTGTTTTAAAATATTAGATTATGAAAAGGTACAAATATATATCCTTTTTTTTCATCTGGGGGGGAAAAACTTAAGGTGCACAGTTGATACTGAAGAATCTGGACATATCTGATGTTTCAGCAAAGAGAGGCCATCCCAAGATAGGCCAGGACAAGCTGGACTCTCTCAGCAGCTAATCCGAAGTGAGCATGGGGTCTTGTTATTGCTGGAATTGCATTTGGGAAGAAGAAAAATCTGGCAAAACAGAACATCTCCAAGCTTTGTGTGGGATATGTGAGAAATGCTTCTTTGAAACTTCGGGGGGAAAAACTTAAGGTACTTTAAAACTACTGTTGTACCTTTTGAGGGTACATTTACATTGTTTGTGCCTTGATGAATGAAAAATGTATCTGCACAGAACCTTTATTTCTAACAATGTACCAACTAATGAGGTATATGCTTTCTGTATTTGATAGCTAGATTAGCCTTGTAGCTCCAGTGCAAAACTAAAGAAGCTGACTTCTGACACCAAACTGACCAACTACATTAAGGGTCAGGGAAAACTCTGTAAATTTGTTTTTTCTCCAAACTATTTTTTTTTTAAGCTGGATATGGATACTAAGTTGAGACCATCCTAGAACTGGCGAGTTCTTCATGGGTTCCATAACCATTGTTTCTCTAGGCTAGTTTCTGTTTAAACTTACGAGCTCATAAACTGGGTATAAAGCTTGACTGCTGGCTGTGAATCCAGTATTCTACACTAAATGCCTGAACCAGCAGTATAGTTTAGTGTATGTTTATTCACTGGTTTTCAGGTCTGGATAAAGCTGTGTTACTGTCTACACACTGGCGTCCTAATAAACTCTGGTATGTGACTGCAGTTAATTTCCCCAGCTATGTGTCGTGCCACAGTCAAGAGAAATTAAACTTGTGTTGGTACTGGCTGCACAGCTGGGACACATCTAGGTAACGTTTGGCTGAAGAGAATTGCCTTCAAGTGCTTTCATGATGTGTGCAGAGCCAAAATTCTTTGGCATTCACACAATTAGGTTATGAGAGGCACAATAAAGCAGGAATGCAGTAGATCTGGCTAAAAAGCTCTTAGTATGCTGACACAGTGTGCCCCTTTTTAATGACCGGAGGAGGTCATAGTAAAGCTTCAGAGAGGGACAGACTGACCGGAGCTATGGAAATGGTTTAAATGCCTCTGCAGTGAACCAAGGGCATGTGAACATGTGAAAAGAGAGAGGGGGAAGAAGGAGTGGCGATGATTTTGCTCACTAGCAGAAAGACAAGCATGGGTGTCTGGTGCTTTCTGACGTGCAACAAAGTCCTTTCGTCTAATATAAGGTTTATGGAATGCCCAATAATGTCAATCATATTGATATTTTGAAAATTGAGTATCCGCACGATCCACAGTTCTCATATCTGCATGTCTCCAGTTTGTAGGCCTAGTGGTGCTTTAGACTAACTTGAAAGATGGTTTTTCCAATTGTCCTATCCATGCTTCGCCCACAAATGCATTAGTTCTTAGCAAGTGTTGTGGGGTTGGACAAGCTGTATAGACCTGCATGAGAAACTGTAGCAGACACCTTAGATTTTGCAAAAATATGTGAATTTATATGAGTTTCCAGCTGAAAGTACCCCAGAAATGCTACCAAACTAGACAACACTGCTGTACCTAATTAAACTAGGCAGTTTGGAAACAGGAACTGGTTCATTTGCATATCCAGCAATTAATTGAAATTAAAGAACCACTTTAAATTTTGGATAGTTTGACAGCACCTTGCAACAGTAGCTATGAAAGAACATGTTTGTGGGCAGAGCATTAACGGATTGGTCAGTTGGACATCTTGTTATCCTTGCTCGCGTCTACCTTACTCAAGGTCTCAAATGCGCCCTGTCGACACAAACACGGCCATGCAGTGCTGATGTGGAGTTCTGGACTTCCTGCTTACACGCCTCCTGCCCCACACCCAGCCAACTTCCCCTCTTTGTCATAACCCATGCTTTAACACACACACACACACACACACACACACACACACACACACACACACACACACACACACACATATATACAAACGTGTAAACTGGTATTTTATTCCTGGATATAAAGTAGTTTTGACTATCAACAACATACACAAGCAGTTTAAAACAATAATCAGCAGCTGGTTGATTGCTGTTTAGTTTCTCAGCTGTAGCTAAAGCTGCCTTGTAACCATAGCAATGTTTAGACCATAAATCACCATGGCAGCCAAATAGACACTATTTCCTAAATGGGCAGTATGCTGTGGTCATTGCATCTTGGGTATGTGGGAGATGGGGTGATGTAGGGTGTGTGGGGGATGTCTAGGGCGTGTGTTGAGGTTGCGCTGGGGGCAGTATATGGGTGTGTGTGTGTGTGTGTGTGTCAGTATGTGGGTGTGTGAGTGACACAGTTTCACTTTCTGAAATGTACACAGACACACGTGTGTCTCCATGGTCACTCTTAGTTCTCTTCCTGTAAAGAAAAGTCTGAGTTTACTGACACAGATCTGTGATTTTCTCATCCTGTGTCATTTTAGAAAATAAAGATGATGATGATGATGATGATGATGATCTCTCTCTTTCTTTCTTTCTTTCTTTCTTTCTTTCTTTCTTCTTTCTTTCTTTTTTCCTCTCTCTCTTTCTTTTTTTCTCACTCATTTTTTCTCACTCTTTCTTTTTTCTCACTCTCTCCTGCTTTCCTTCCTTTCTTTCTTTTTTTTCTTTCTCTCTCTTTCTCTCTTTTTTCTTTCTTTCTCTCTTTCGTTTTTCTCACTTTCTCTTGCTCTGCTGTCCTTTCTGTCTTTCTCACTCCCTCTTTTTTCTCACTCTCTTTCTTTTTTCTCACTCTCCTGCTTTTCTTTCTTTCTTTCTCTTTCTTTTTTCTCACTCTATTTCTTTCTTTTTTCTTTCTTTCTTTCTTTTTTCTCTCTTTTTTTCTCACTCTTTCTTTTTTCTCACTCTCTCTCCTGCTTTTATATCTTTCTTTCTACTCTCTCTCTCTCTCTCTCTCTCTCTCTCTCTCTCTCTCTCTCTCTCTCTCAGGTTTGTCAGAGGAGTGTAAGGTGCAGACTCCAGCCTTTACTGATGCGGTGCGGCTCTACCGACAGGCTCGTGGTCAGTACGGCACCTGGGACATGATGTGTGGGGTTCCTCCTCAGGTAAGGACCAATCCCAAAGGGGTGAAGGCACTCTGAAGTTATTTCATTTGTCCAAGGGGACAATGTCTGAAATGTGGGATTATTGTGTTTTTTTTATTTTTTATTTATTTATTTATTTATTTATTTTTAATGATGAGAGGATCCTGATTAAGAATGTATACCTGATCTACAGAACTTGCATAATGAAGGTTTCTGCAGATAAGCAATTTTTTTTTATTTACTTCCATTTTCCACCCTTCATTATCAGTCTAATACCTATTAGTGCTTTTTAAAGCACTACTGCAGTAAAAGCTGATCATTTTGGTCACTGATATAATGATAGAAATTTGTACGGTCCCCATTTGCCACCATCCCTATTCTGGTCCCATTTTGTTTTTCACAAATAAACACATTTTCAGTTTACGTAAAACGTGTGTGATGAATGCACATGCAGCAGGTCTGTAACTCTGTACTGTGCTTGAGCAACAGGGGAGGGTCAGACACACAGGTTGTTACACTGAGACTGCTCTGAAGGTGTTTCTAATCAGGTCATAATAGGTTACAAATAAATGTCTTTACAGCTCCCAGTGACCCACTTCTACATGTCTTTGTGAAAGGCCTTTGTCAGATGAGTGTGGGCTAGTGGTAGGGTGTGGTCCTCTGAGTTCTATAGAGCTGAACTGGTTCCTCTCAGTGTCTTTATCAGGAATTACCCTCATTCAGTCTTTGTTTTCATCATTTACCACATCAGTGGCGTTGGGGGGAAAAAAACCTTGTGTCTCAAATAGTCGTTTTTCAGGAAGAAGGTAAAACGTTCTTAACTTTGATGGAAAGTGGGTGTAAGGAAGGTTTCATTTCAAGTGATATTGATCTGAAGGTGTCGTCATTCTGTAGTGTGCACCATGCCCATATTAGGAGCTCTGGGTCTCAGCAGCTGTCCTCTATAGGAGAATGCTGTTGGACCCTGTGGTATAGAGAGAAATGTTCAGTGTTCCAAAGCCAATATTTTGATGTATGTACATTTATTTTCCTGAATATCACTGGATCCTCTGAATTACAGTGTCAATAAAAGTGGTGAAATATGAATGTTACCTCAGGCAAGCTAACACTGCCATGCACTAAACTGACATCATAAGACTGGCAACCTCACCAAAATACCCCAAACAAACCAGTACAGTTATTAAATGTTCTAGTTAGGTTTCTTTGGCAGTAATTGCCAACAGTTTGAGTTGCTGGCGTTGGTACAGTTGTGTGCAAAAGTTTAGGCACCCCTGGTCAAGTGGTCTTTCTTTGATTTTTCTAAATATTAATATGGTAACACATCCTCTACAGAGAACACAGTTCTGCACATTTTAATGCACAATTTCTGTTTATTTGCTGATATTAACATATTGGGGGAAAACAATGCGGCCTTTGCAAAGGTTATGGTACAAATTTTTCTTCCAGTATGTTAAAATTGAGCAAATATACAGAAACTACATGCTAAAATTTGCAGTAAAATGCAATGTTTGTGTGTTCTCTGTGGGGGATATGATAACTTTCACTTAAACGATCAACAAAACATAACATTTGACTCGAAGTATTACATTTTATATATAATTAAATTTTAATAGTAGACTCATTTTTGTGTGACATCCGTTCAGTGCACAGGAACGCTTGCTTGTGCTATGAAAGGTATCGTATCAAATTGTATTTCAACTATTCGGGGAATGCGAAAAACATTGTCTTTGAAGTGTTTTTGTTTACTTCAGGGTGTTGCATTCATTTTTCCCCTGGAGAAAAACAGCTTAGGCCCAGAGTTCCTAACATGGCATTGACCCATGACTTCAGAGGTCTACTGGTCCGTTCCTTATGTGAAAAGCAGGTAGTGTTTTCAAATGATGAAAAAAGCAGAAAAAAAGTAGAAAAAATCAGTACAAAGTTCTCATATGATATTGATGACATACTGCAGGCCACACCTCCTTCATTAGCAGAAGTGAAACTTAACATGAGTCACTTAGTTCCTTTTTAGGCTAATCGGACCCAGATGGGCCCCAAGTAGCGCTGACCTAATACCTCACAGCACACTTGAAGTAATGTGTTTATTTATGTCCTGCAGGGTGGCTTTTTAGATCACTTCCCCTTATTGTACAAGGCCTAAGTTTGCATGTTGTTAGTAGGAGAGAGGAGGAGAGAGTGGCGGTGGGAAATCTTTTCCTGCAGGCTCCAGCAGTACGAGCTTTCTGCCATAAGTGCCAGTTCCACAGCTGAAGAGGGAGTTTTTATTTATTCATTTTTAACCCTTTAACTGACACACGGTGAAATACGTTTGACTTTTTTTCTCAAATCAGTCACAAAGATTGTTAATTATAAAGGTCTGTTGGATTGTTGAGCTGCAAGTTTATGGTAACACTTTAAGGACACTGAGAATAATGTGCGAGCAGCACAGTTTTACTTTTGCGACTGCACAAATAAAAAAACAAAAAAAAACATTATCTGGCTTTATGTATTAATAATACAATGGGAAAAAAAAACTCATGCAGAACACAAGCTAACAAGCTAAACACTCAATCGCAGAAAGAATGAAAAAAGTAATAAAAATAACTGCAAAACTACGCAGAATTGACTGTGTAGTCAGTCAGTCTTTATATTTTATGCATTTAATGTCAAAATAACTGATATCACAGGCTACATATGATTCTGAGTGCATTTGAACATACTAATTTTAACCCATTCAAAAATGAAATAAAATGCTCATCAATATTCAATGAATACTAATTTGATCAAACATGTTTTTAACAAATGGACGTGTCTATATTCACTGGGTAAAGTGATGAAAACCTTTTTTTTTAATGTTGATTTATGTATCAAACAATACAGATCCTCCCTTGTAGATGTACACGTTGTACACGTTGGTTAACATGTAATCCTTCTATGCTTCTGATTACAATGTGAAGTGTGTGTAAATGTATATGTAAGGGTTAAAGATGTTTTTAGGATGGTTGTGTTAAATGTTGATGCTGTATGATGATCACGTGTCCTGCACTGGTGGTAAATGTTAGAAGAGAACTTGGGGGTCACATGTGAGATCATCTAATCTTTGACAATGAGCGAGAGAGAGCAAGAAGGAACCTAGCAAGTAGATGGAATTGGACACTACTAAATTGGGGAGAAAATTGGGGGGGGGAATGCCAAAAAATGTAAGCAACCTTTTGAAAAATTCATTGAACATGAAATAATCAGTTAACAGATCAGTAATTATGTGTGTTACATTCTGAGCTTATTATTTGCCTTAAAATGTTAAGGCAGCAAGGTTCCTAACTTAAGTCCAAATTAGTTTTCACAGTGTACATAAAAATTAATAATTTGAAACCAGGCCAACCTGAGTCCAGTGTTACACATGGAAAAACGTTTACGAGATATTTGTAGGGCCCGCTGTGCTCAGGTTGGGCTGCAGACCTCTAGAAATGTTTTTCAGGGCACAACATTAATAAGACAGAATGCTTTGTTTTAGCTCAGTCTTTTATATTTAAAAAAATTGTTTTGTTTGGTTTTAGTGAACTGTTTAACTATTTAGCATTTAAAATATATAAAAGCTGTAGATAAAATGTTTCTCTAAAACAGCGTCTCTGGCATTAGCTAATCTGTTCATAACTATGTCCTGTAAGAGCTTCTCGTAATGTTGCTTTTAATCTTCTTAAAAGCTTCAGATGTCTGGCTCCTGTTACCACCACTGTGAACAGTTCTGACTCTTATTTTCTCTCTAATGGAGCATTTCACATTAAACCACTCTGAATGACTTTGTTTACATCTTAACCGTTCACCTATTCAGAAATTTTTTGAAAAATTGGTGGAATTCCTCTTGAAACCCAGAGTGGATCTGAAATCACTGTGTATCTTCTTTCCACACTGTGACATATTTCTGAGTGAAGCTCTCTGAGCTAACTGAAGCATCCATTGAAAGTCTGTGAAGCTGTTCTCTTGCATCGCTCCAAAGAACACTAAGATAAAAGTGTATATTTCCGTCTCATGGCTTTATATAATATAACTATGCCTCGCTGGTCTGATTGTCTCGCCCCGGTGCTGCTAAAGCTGTTTCGTAGCCATGTGCAGTGTTGTTTTTCTGTAGAATGCTTTGTTGGCTTGCAGAATTGAGCAATGTTCTCTCAGCAAGCCTCTCAGGCATGTTTGCTCCTGCTCTGTGGGTGTGTCCGGGATAACACAAGCAGCAGGTGACCTGTTTCAGTTCTGCCCTTATTATAAATGAGTATTTAATTGCACATAAAATATTGTTTTATAGCATATTTCTTAAACTTACTTTGCATTACATCAGAGAAACAACCAAAAGGCCTATATCACATAGATGGACAGTAGTGTTGAGTAAAGATTTTGCCTATATAATATAATTAACATGCATTTCTGAAGATTTGAATGGTGTCATGTTCTTATGCCGGACTCAAATTATCAGTCAGTAAAACACTGTTTGCTTAAAAACAGAAAAAAACAACAAAAAAAAAACATAAAATCATGTTGGCCATAAAATGTCATCTATCAAAACCTTTAGCTCCTTAAAGGGCCAGTATCTTACTTTTTCTAGCATATTATTTTATACCTTGAGGTCCACTTATGACGCCTGTGTGCCCCCATCTCCCCCCGGTCACCCAGCGCGATGCTAGTCAGCGCAGGCGTCTGTTAGCTGACATAACAACTGGCGGTTGGTGCTTTCCTCCAAGTGCGTTTGGCTGTCCAGTGCTCTTGCGTTAGGAGCAGTTCGAAAGATGAGGTGACTCCCTTCACAGGTCTCGGAAGTAGCCTGTGCTGGCCTCCGTCCTCCTAGTGCTGTTGGTGTTGTGTGATTGTGGGAGTTCTAACTAGTGGCTGGAATTGGATTAGTCTAAAAACTGGGGAGAAAATGGAGGAAAAAAAATAAAAAAATCTGTTAAGGTTGACGTTGAGTGTGGTGATCTTAGGCTCATGTGTAGCTGTGCTTTCTATTGCCAGTGCTTTTCTAAGGAAGATTTAACACCAGTGTTAGCAATGGTGGCCCCTAAAGTTGCTGAATTCATCGGTTGTAAGGTGTGTCTGGAAACTTTTGAGCATAGACTGTGCCAAAGATCTACCAGAAGTTTTCCCCCCCTGATGTTACCTTCTTGCTGCTTGATTTCTGAAACTGTTAAAGGAGATTTTTGTGCTTTGACAATGCACTAAATGTTATACCTACAGAAACTAGAAATTGTATTATTTGCTAAAAGAGGACATGGATGTATCGTCTTACTGTAAAGTAGGATATACATATGTATATATACACGTGTGTGTGTGTGTGTGTGTATGTGTGTGTGTGTGTGTGTGTGTGTGTGTGTATGTGTATATATATATATATATATATATATATATATATATATATATATATATATATATATATATATATATATATATAACACACACATAAAAAAGACACTATGTGGCAGAAATGCATATAAAATGTGTGCCCATTCAGAGATATCAGTAGTAAAATGTAAAACATGCAGTATTGTCATCCAGTTTGCCAACTAATTACTGCAGATTGATTTGAGAAGGTGCTGTATTTATTTATTTATTTATTTATTATTTATTTATTTATTTATACTGAGTAAGCAAGTTTACTCAAATAATCAGGACAGCCCTACTGTAAACTGAAGGCCTTAAACCTTTTTAGCAGAAATTTAAATTTAAAAGGGAAAATCCACCAACTTTTCTAAATATCTGAATAATTAAATTGTTAAGATGCAAACAAAGTCAGTCTGAGTGGTTTGGTGTGAAGTGGTCCATTGTAGAGAATCTCAGTCAGTATTGTTCATAATAGTGTTGATCACTACATGGAATGATGAATGTGCTGTAAAATGCCTGCTTTATGATGTTTCTGAGATAAAGTTTTGGCCTAAGGCTTTTTTTTAATGTGGTGGAGAGATGCATTCAGGGTGTTTTGTGAGGTAAAATGGTCAACAAAAACTTTTGAGATTAAACACTACCATTATCAGCATTACCCATCTCCACATCCCCTTCCCCCTTACCACCCCCCCCAATCCACCCCCCCGGTTCCTATCACCACCACTGTAAAGAAAATAGTCACAAATTTCTCACCAGTGAACCACTTTACATCAAACTGAATGACTGACTGTTTCCATGTCAGCGATTTAGTCATGCAGAAATTTAGAAAAATCAGTGGAATTCCCCTTTTAAGAAAAGGAGATGAAAGTTATGGTAAAAGGTACACAATGGGTGCTTGTAAACGGGTGTTAGTAATGAGGGAGGAACGCAGGTGTGGCCTTGGTTGCCTTCTTCAGTTATTACATAACTCTGCTTGTTCAGAATCACACAAATTAGTAATGCAGGCTGGAGTCTGTGGCTATCGGCTGTGGCTTCTGGTGTCAGTCTGTGTGTCTTTGTGCTGCGGGCAGGCTGTCTGACCATCTTTGCTGTCTTGGAAGAAGAGAGTGTGATGGGAATGAGTCATCATGAGACATCTCCACTAGATGTCACAAACCATTGAATTCAGCTTGTAGTTTGATCCATGCAACTGTCCAGACCTGACTCGACTGATATCAGGGAAAAGACGGAGGGGTCAGGTTGTAAACATGGCTTCTGTAGAGTTTAGGTGGCAGTGTGGTTCTGGTTTTGATAGAAATGTAAATGTGCTTGTTGGAATTATGAGGTTTACACCACATAGGGCTGCATTATATAGCCAAAATACTCCTCTTGCAATTTTATTGCGATTGTAATCGGCCTTGAAATGTTGAATCAATAATGTGATGTAGTTAAATATTGGCCTGCAGTATTATGAACATGTTGGATTACATAAATAACTTTATCCATGCAAACACCCACAGACACACCCATCTGGTCACAGTGCTCAGCACACACAGTAACCAACATTATGACTGGTTAGAGGGCTAATTTGCATATCACAGCCTTCTTCACTATTAGTATTGCATTACATTTATTTTGGAGTATCTTATAGTAAAGTCGAGATCGTCATTTATTTAATTTCCAAATTCCAAAATGACACTTAAGTGCAAGTTTGTTTTTCAGCATCAGTAAACACACATTAAGTGGAAAATGACACAGAAGCCTTAGGAGCTGAGTATAGGAGTATAGTAGTTTTTCAAAGAAATCTGTTGGGATATTTTTCATTATCTCAGTTCAGTGTTAAAATAATCCTAATTACAAATTTAGGCTCTTATCAATAAATCCTTCCTCCACATCTCAGACATCCAGTCTCAGTGTTTTAGTGCACTGTTCTAGTCCATGTGTCCTTTCAGACTCACAGCGCTGACTTGTCTTCTCACAGTGGAAGGATGAACAAACACCTGCGGATGTTTTCAGATCTGAAGCAGCTTGATTTTCTCCTCTCTCTCAAAGATGAAAGCTTTAAGTGCTGTTTATCTGATGGGGACAGTTTTGCTGGTCTGTCAGGACTTGCAAGGTTGTTAGGAGCCTCATTTTCCCTGTATCTTCCAATAATTATTTTTCTAGTTTTGGAAACTCCTTTTTTCACTTATTTTCTTTTTACTTTCTCCTTCCTTGTGCAAGTGGATTATATTATATATATAATCTTCTCAGAAATATCTTCTGGAAAATGAATAACTTGTACTTAACAGCTGTTTTGAATGGGAAATGAAATAAACGAAGTGTGGACTTTTGTACAGTCCTGTGTATATAATGAAACCTTTTGCTCTGAGGGCGATGAATGAATGTTTGGAGGTGTTAAAGGTACAGGGTATGTGCTCACAAAGCTCCTGCTCCGTGTGCTTTCAGATCCTGGCTAATTTGGTGATGGAGACTCTGCTTCCCGAGCTGAGGGATCTGATCAGCCCTCGTCTGAAGGGCAAACTGCAGGAGAAACAGAAAAGCTGGATACTGGTAATCACTCAGTACAGATTCAGAATCAACACAGTGAAACTCACTACAGTTTTGGGATGGATGTTTTCCCCCATTATTATTATTATTATTAATCAAATCATATCATACAATAAACAACAACAACAATAATATTGCACATATTCATTTGCACAGAGGGGCACATTTTTCAAGCTGATAGTCGTGTTTATACCCAGTATTGGTCTTATTTTATAAATACGTTTAGTTATATAGTTATAGTGTGTTGTGTGTGTGTGTGTTTATATACTCTAGCTTTGAAGTTTGGAATCACTTGTCATGTTAATAGTCATGTTATTCAATAATATTTTGAACAGTATTTTAAGCAGTGTAGACTTAAATACTTGAATGCTAGACACCAGAAGGTATATAAGATTTTATTAAATTTAGATATATGTTAGATATATTAAATTTATTATATAATAATAACATTTATTATATAATAATAACAATAATATAATAACTAATAATCATCTGCAGGTCTGTATCTTGAACACTGTTGTACTTTTGCACAGTTTGTGCAAAAATACCATATTTTAATTTGTTTACTGTAGAGGATGTGTTAACTTATTTTCACTTCGAAAATCAATAAAGCGTCATTTAACTGGGAATGTTGAAACCTTTGCATACATTTGTATCTGTCTATGGCGTTCACTGAAAAAGAGGCTCTAATATTGTATTTTGTATTATTTATTGTCAGATTTCAGATGCAGTGTACGGTTTGGTTCAGAGCCAAGCCCAGTCGCAGTATGAGGCCATTGTGCAGAGCTGCGAGGCTGGGCGTCCGCCTCTGGAGGCCTCCATACGCACAGATATGGACCAGATTATTACCTCCAAGGAGCACGTCACCAGCAAAATCAAAGGTAGGCACCAATATATACAGACGCTTTAACACGTGCTCTCTTAAGGTACCTATCCCACTGTAGATTGGTTTAGACCAATTTATTGATGTTCAGAACTGATAGCCTTTCTCTGCTTTTACTTTTAAAAGTGCTTTCAGTTTTGAAAACTGATTCAGTCTTCAATCTCCAGATGCTCTACAACTAATCTCACAAAGATGTCAGTTTTTGTTAAGCACAAGGGCAGCCAGACTGCATTCCGTGAACAGTTATGAGGGTACATCTCAGGACTTCATGTGAAGGAAAGCAACCGGTAGTCATGGACAGATGACCCAACTATGAACCGCTTAGGAGCTCTATTGTTCCCTCTGGGACACGCATTGATCAACAGGGTGATATTTCCAAACTGTAGTTCTGGCTCTTGCAGTGCATTTTTGCATTGTGTCCCTCTCCACACTCTGCTGATAAAATTCCATGTGAAATCTGGGTCAAGGGTCAGTCTAATGATTTCTCCCAGCGGAGTTGAAATAATGGTCTCATTATACAGACCCACTTGGAAAACAATAAATAATCTTGGCTTGAGGCCTGGGTTGTTTTATTTAGACAGAGATTGGGAAAATACCAGATGGGTAGGTTGTTGCAAAACAGTTTCTATTGAATTCAGAGCATCAGGTTGTGAGTCATTACCTAAGCTAGAATATGATGCAATAAATGTCCTTGTGTAGCCTAAAACAGGTTTCAGTTGCAGGTTTCAGATTACACTTAGTTAGATTTGATCTTGTAAGTCTTTTATGGCTGTTTTCCCAGACTGGATTAAGCCCAAGCTTAGGCTAAATATGATTTTTAACACTGAATCATCCTTGCCGTTTCAGTCCAGCCCTTAACGTCAAGTTAAAAAGTCCAGTAACACTTTAATCTAGGACACTGTTCATAATGCTGATAATGACATGGTTTGGAGTGTTGAACAAAAGCGAGCATTTTCTGTCAGTTGTTAAAACATGCTACGTGATTTCACCCAAATGTCAGGAAAAATTGATGTCTTCTGACCTCCACTGTACAGCCAAAAGTATGCGGGCGCTCTTCCTGATTACTTCAAGCGAATTCAAGTGTTTCAGACACTCCCATTGCTAAAATCAAGCACGTAGCTATGCAACCTCCACAGCTAAACATTAGCAGTAGAATGGGTCGTATTGAAGAGATCAGCGATTTTAAATGTGACACCGTCATAGGATTCTGAAATCTTTACCCTGCTAGATCTGCCTTGGTCAACTGTACGTGCTATTATTATGAGATAAAAGCATCTAAGAGTAACAACAGCTCAGCCACAAAGCGGTAGACCACTCAAACTCAGTGGTGTCACCAAATGCAGAACCATGTAAAAATTGCCTCACTCACTACTGGATTCAAAACTGCCTCTAGAAGCAACATCACAACAAGAACGGTGTGTCAGGAGCTTCCTGAAATGGGTTTCCGTGGCTGAGCAGCTCCACTCAAGTCTAAGGTCACTATGCATCAGTTAGAGAGGTGTAAATTAGGTCACTGTGGGCTCTGAAAAAGTGGAAATGTGTTCTCTGGAGTGAGTAGTCATGCTTCACAAACGGGCAGTCTGATGGATGAATTTGGAATTGGCACATGCTTGAAGACTGCTGCGATACCGAAATGCATAGGGGCAACAGTAAAGTTTGGTGGAGGAGGGATAATGGTCTGGGGCTGTTTTTCAGGGTTTGGGCTCAGCCCCTTAGTTCCAGTGAAGGGTAATGTTCATGCTACTGCATACAAACACATTTTAGACAACTATCTGCTTCCAACTTTGTGGCAGCAGTTTGAGAAAGGCCTTGGCCAATCCCAGCATGCCTGTGCCCCTGTGCACAAAGCGAGGTCTATAAAGATAAGGTTTGATGAGTTTGGTGTGGAGGAACTTCAGTGGCCTGCACAGAGCACTGACCATAACCCCAATGAACACCTTTAGGATGAACTGGAACGTCAATTGTGAGCCAGGCCATCTCATCAAACATGAGTGCCTGACCTCACAAATCCTACAGTGTGTTAGATTAACCATTTCCTCACAAATTCTCTTTTGGCTGACTAGGCACACATTCCCACAGACAGGCTCTGAAATGTTGAAAAGCCTTACCAGAAGAGCGGAGGCTGTTATAGTTGCAAAGAGGGAGGGGGGCAACTCCATATTAATGCCCAAAGTTCTAGAATGGGATGTCCAACATCTCATATAGGGGTGATGGTCAAGGGTCAACAAACTTTTGGCCATATAGTGTAAGAATTATTTCATCGTGACACAAAAGTTGACAAGCTGCATTTTTTGACTGTGCCTATTGGAATAAGCATTTATAAATGTAGGTTTATAAATATAGGTTTTTGGAATCTGTCATGACAGCGTTATGTAGTTATCATGAAGCCTTATAAACACTGTCCTTCAGTAAAGTGTTGCCAAAGGTTGATTACCTATGTATCATTACATGTAAAGAAACACTGGGTCTTGTTCTCCAGCTCTGGTGCTCCCCAAAGCAGAGAAGCTCCTGAAGGTCAGTATTCAGCCTTACATCAGCTCCATCCTGGAGGCCTTGATGGAGCCCACAAGCCGAGGCTTCTTCGAGGTGCGTGACGTCTTCTTCAGGGAGTTGGTGGACATGAGCAAGAATCTTCTGAATGGTGGCAGCAAGGAGAAACTAGGAGAGGTGAGGGAAATGATTTTGGTTATTTTAGCACTGGGCATGGGGCAGATTTTTGTTTTTCTTCCCCCACTGCAAGGCAGTTTGGCTGTAAAAGAGCATGAAAACTAGGTGTCTCTTGCTTAAGAGTGAAAGTTCCCTTAGCTTCCTGTAGATTGACTCAGCAAAATTCTTCTAAATCTCTTTCTATTTCCCTATTGCATACAATGTGACATGTGCAGTACTATGTGGCACGTGCAGTTCTGTGCAACCTCAGAAAATTGCATATACAGTTATTTTTTTGGGCAGTAAAGTTCTAAGTTTTTTTGTAAAAACAGTAATGAAACAATTATTATAAATATAAATGAACACACTCAATAGTAGCTTCATGTCTGTCAATGTGTTGAATTAATCATTTCCAAATCTCCCTTTGTATTTACAGCTACTATCCAATATCTGACATGCTTAATCGGTACTTTATTAACTTATCACGTGTGCTGGTGGTGGAATTGAACAAATCCATGGCTGAATCTCCATCAACCAAACGTATTTATCTAACCGGCTCACAACATAGCAAGTTCATAGTAGTTACAGAATAATGTGTTGTTGTTACTGGAACTGCACAAAATGTTGTTTTTGAAATGCAACTTTTAGAAGGGGTGGCCAGGTTACACCCAGAAATTTTTGTGGGTGTCGCTCTGGTGGAAAAAACTAATTAAAATTAGTTATTTTATTGTTGTATATTTTTTAGTTCTCAAGGAAGTTATGCACACATTAGAATCAAGTAAATTTAGTGACCAGTTTTTGCTTTAACCTTTAATGTTAACTTGAAGCTTCATACAGACGGACCATAAAAGTTATTCATTTAGACCACCTACGCTACAGCATACACTTGAGTTTAATGATTTTAAAAAGACAGCCAGACAGCAAAGTATAAGGTAACATAATGAGCGAAAGGCTTTAGTGCAAATGTGTTCCATCCTCAGGTAAAATCTAGCTTATAACACATTACACTCACCTGTTTGCTCAGCAGAGTAGCCTATTACTATGGATCATTGAGTGCAACATTATCAGGCATATGTCTTATAACTGATTGGTAACTGCCCTGGTAATTTTCACTGTAAAGCATAACACAGGATAGGTAGGACAGATTTTCTTATGTCACTTCTTTATTGTTGAAAGCAGAGTATCTCTCTGGGCCAGTGGCCTGGCCGCTCCGGCCTCCCTTTGGCTATGCCCATTAGATCTTATCGCAGAACCAGTCTTTGCAGTAGTGATATCACAGAAGAGACTGTAATATACAAATTAACCCTCTAACCAGCCGCAGTTTGTTTTGCTGTGTGCTATGAGCACCTTGACCAATCACAGTTCCTAAAGAGTGCTTCTCTAGGTGATGAATCAGGGTATTTACATAATCCAACAAAAGTAAAATGCTTGTCAAAATAATACACGCCATCTGTTAATCATACAAAATTATTGACTCACCTGTTCATTTGCAATACTGATATATCCATAGCATGCAGCTGTAGTAGTTACTGAATAATACATCTTTAGATTAACGTTAGAATGATTAACCTTCAGTTTAAGAGGTTAAATTGCAGTTAATAGTCAGGTATTTTTGAAGCTAAGAGAATGTGCAGAAATGCTGATCTAACGCTCATGTTTCCTCACGTTCTCCAGCACATGGAGAAGATCTCTATGCTGGCCTTCCACCCGGTGAAGATGCAGGGATGCTATGAGAAGGTTGAGCAGCTGAGTTTGGAGGGCCTGCAGCAACGGTTTGATGTCACCAGCCCCTCTGTTTTCGTCCAGAGAGCTCAGATCCTCATGAGGGAGGTAAGTCTGTAAAACACAGCTCTTCTCCACCACACCTCTGCCAGCCTATGTCGTCCACAGCTAGCAACATTTACACTGAAAAAAAAAAGGATTCTCTCTTCAGCAACATGGAAAAACACACTTAATCAGCATTCAGTTTGAACTGTTTTGGGTATGCGATAATTTGAGGTCGACTGCTGAGAATTTTCTCTCAAGGGGCGGACGCTTTCTCTGAGCAGCAGATGGTTGGAATAATTGTCAGCATCTTTATCGCATATCAAACGTTTTTGAAAAAAAAATGTAGGGGTGTGTGTGTGTGTGTGTGTGTGTGTGTGTGTGTGTGTGTGTGACTCTCTTGCTTAAGTTGTGGTTTGTGGTTTTGTTGTTGTACATCAAATAAAATGCCCTGTTGAAATCGTGCTGTTATTGTGGTGAAGGATTCATATTTCAGTAGGGAGTAATGCTTTTTACAGTTGATTTCAACAGCTAAGAACCAAGAGTAGCCAATAGGAAAACAGAAAAGTGATACAATAATTCAAAGCCATTAAAAACACCCGGAACATAATTGCTGTCTGGACTATGCGCACATCAGAGTTCACAGTGAGTAGGTGAGCGAGTGCTGGTAATAGTGGTATTGTTAAATAGACTCTGTTGTTCCAGTACTAACTAACCCTAGTTGCAGCTATTCCCACCTGGACTGTGCATGCATCTATTGAAATTCTGGGTCCTTTTAAAAGCTTTAAGTGTAACTGGTTGGTAGGTCCAAAATGAATGAACAAGTACAGGAAGAGTTTTTGTCAATACAATCAAAGAGCTTGTTATTGAAGCAGAGGGAGTGGTGGCACAAGACTAAACATGTATAGCTCATTTTATCAGAGCGATCAGAACGCTCTCGCAGGAAGCACGGTTATTGAGATGAGGGTGCCACACAGTGGTGAACATGGAGAAATGTTGTTATTATAAGCCATACGGTCATATGCAAAAGTTTGGGCACCCGTGATCAAATGACGTTTTGTTTTAGCGACCCTCTACAGAGAACACTCCTGCACATTTTAATGCACAGTTACTGTTTGTTTGCTGAATTTAACATATTAGGGAAAAATAAACATACAATCTGGCATGTGCGCAAGTTATGGCACATTTTATATTGAATGCTTTATTTTATCCTAATATGTTAAACTAAGCAATTAAATAGAATTGCACAATAAAATTTGCAACGTTTTTAAGGTTTTTTTTTTCCCCCTGTAGAGAATGTGACCTTACTTTCACTTTGAAAATCAGCAAAACATGTAACTGGACTGAGGTTGTTCACTTTTACATAGGACTGCACATGAATGCTGTACATGGAATATACAATTACTGGACACCTTATTAGAAACCCTTACTTTGTGGTTCATGTTGCAGGTGCACAGTTAGGGTCTGTTTTTTGTAAACATGGATTAAGCCTAGTCTTGGACTAAATTGCAGCACCAGTAGTGAATAAACATTACACATTCTTCTTAGTTCAGGCTTAGCTTTAAACTGGGTTTGGTGAAACTGGCCCATAGAGACTGTAACCCATCTGCTGCCATGTGCAATTTGTTAGCCATCTTCTAACCTTCCATCATTGGTCAATATCTGATTGCAGAGCTGATCTTGGCTGGATGTTTTTGAGTAGTGAACCACTCTCAATGCACCAGCAACTAGGGCCAAGTGATTTGGAGAAAATACTAAATATAACAAAATATTTTAATTATTTAATTTTAATTATAACCTGTATTAAAAATATAGGTTATAATTAAAATTGTAGCTCATGTAATCAGAAAATTGCTCTTTCAGACTGCAATTTCAATGCAAAAATGATTAATTTAGCCCTAGCAGCAACACTGCTGCTTTATTTATTCATTTATTGACCGACTGACTGACTCACTCACTCACTCACTCACTCACTCACTCACTCGTCATGTGAGTTAATGTCATAAATTAATGAATTCATTAATTATCATATAACATTTTGCAAATGAATTGTAGATCTCCACAAGCTCTTGTTGTTTTTTGTCCTTATCTGTTCATCTTATCTGTTTTCTGCAGCAAATGGATGATGCGGTGTACACATTCGAGCAGCTTCTCCACCAGAGCCTGGAGGGCCAGGAGGAGGAGGACCTCTGTAAAACCATCCAAAAATGTCAGGACCGGGTTATCAAGGTCAGTCAAAGAAGTCCATTAGTCATTAATAGGAACTTACAATAATAGAATTTTCCCTAAATGCTTAATATCTGTCTTTTATCTCTGCAGAAATTTGACTATGACAGCAGTACTGTGCGTAAGAAGTTCTTCAGAGAGGCCCTTCTCCAGATCTTCATCCCATATATGCTGAAACAGCTCTCTCCATCCTGCTCTGCAGTAAGACCCTCAAATACATGTGCTTTATAGAGGCATTGCGTGTTTTACTGCATGCTGCTGATCTAGTGCTGTGCTCATATGCTAAGCTAAAGTTTGTCTGTAGGAACTTCCTCGTTTCCGAGAGCTGATCTTTGAAGACTTCTCTCGTTTCATCCTCGTTGAGAACATCTTTGAGGAGGTGGTGCTTCAGACTGTCATGAAGGACATAATGATGGGTAAGGCATAGGGGTGTACACCTCAAAAAGATTTCATTTGATTGCATTTCTTTAGAAAGTGACTCGTTGTGAAATCTTAAATTTCACCACGATGTGATTTTGTGTGATTCATAATTATTTTTAATCATTTTATATGTCGTATCATAAAAGGTTTAATATTTACCCTAAAAAACTGTTACTAAGACTAATAGTTTCTAACTGTTGCCTCTCATTTCCAGCTGTGAAGGAGGCTGCTGTGCAGAGACGACACAACCTGTACAGGGACAGCATTGTGCTGACCAACAGTGACCCAAACCTGCACCTGCTGGAGGAGAACCCCCCCATCGACTGGGCCGAAGAGTACGGTGGAGGGCAGACAGAGGTGGACGGTGAGCAGGGGGGTGAAGAAGGACATGCGATCACCCAGAAGAGGCGAAGGATGAAGCAGGTGGTCTCCATGATCCAGGAGGATGGAACAGCAACGGCGCTGCCCGAGTCCTGCCTAGAGGTTCCTGGGGTGGAGGACATCCCTGAAGAAGAGGGTGAGGTGGATTCGGACACCAAATCCTCCTGTGCATCTGAAAAGGAAGTGCCCAGCGAAGCCAGCACCAAAGAAGAAGTCAGTGTGCCAACATCTACGGAAATGCCTCCTGCTATACCCTAATGGAACTACAATAAAGGAGGAAAAAACTACAAAGCCCAGCGAACAAGAGGCAGAGCCAACGTCTCCTCAGGATTCAGAGAGCAAGATAGCGAGCGCCATCCAGGAGATAGAGAATGCAGTGCAGGAAGAAGAGAGTGAGCAGAATGGAGAGAGAAATGAACCAGAATCAGAAGAAACCTCCTCTCCAGCAGAGCCAGCAGCAACTCTGGTCAACAAGGAGGCGGAGCCTGCGCCTGAAAGCCAGAGAGAGGTTCAGCCAGAGCCAGCACCAAACCATGAGGATTGCAAGGTTGCACCCTCGAGCACGGAGCATCAGTCACCTGCAAAAGCAGAAGAATCTATCGCACAACCAACGCAAGAAGAGCAAAGCCATGAGCCAGTTGACGTGGGGACCGCTTCAGAACCCGCTTCAGAACCCCTCTCAGAACTCCAGCAGAAAACCAACGACTCCAGTTCGCTTCACCACGATGACAGCGGCTTCCAGTCTCCTGCCAATGAGGTGGCTGAGGAGGAGGAGCCTCAAGCTGAGGCTGCCGCGGCAACCACGGAAACTGATGCGGGAAAAGAGAAGCACAATGACTCTGAAACTGGAGAAGAGGATGCTGAGAAAGGAGCTGACACAGCAGCTGTGCAAACATAGATCGCTAAATAAAACATAATTCATAATTCCATTTTTTATAGTAAACTTAAGCCCACTGCTCTACAACAGTGATAGTTTGACAGAGGAGGGTTTTTATGGTGTTTTTTTGTTTGTTTGTTTGTTTACATGCAAAATATCTCGCACGCTTTGAGTCTTAACAGGTTTTACCTTGTCACATTTCACTTTTTGCACATATTGCATTGGATGGCCTCTGTCATAAGCATACCTTTGTGCGTAAAGCAGTCATTCTATGCCATATTCTACTTTACTTCATATTTCAGTTGCTGATTTTTATAGCTGTGCTTTATTTCCGATTGTGTTGATATTCTACTGCAAATTGTTTTCGAATACAGAAGGGGGTTAGATTTGACGATAAGACTGCTTAACACTATACAGCTGACTCCATGCTGGCCTTATCTGGTATGGTGTGTGCATTTTTTTTTAATTTACATTCTTTATTATAAGCCTGTTATCTTTGCCTTGCTTGACTACAAACTGAAAACACTGAATTTTATTTTTTCTATTCATTTTTATATTTTATTATCATGTCTAGCCCAATATTGCAATTTATTGTATATTACCCTGATATTTTCTTTCGATAGACGTCCAAGTGTAGTGATGTATTACTTTTATTTGATATTAAGCTAGAATCTTTTCATGTTCCCTAAATGCTGTGGGATTGCAGTTGCCTGTAGTCTGTTTAAACACTGCCAACAAATGCATCACCTTTTATGTTGGTTACACTTTACTTGAACCCTGCTGTGTAACGTTGATATGACCAAGTTATAGACATATGATAGAAGATGTGGTCATGAATTGTCATTATAGAATGTGTCCAGGAATCTAACAGTATCATGTTACCATTACTGGTAATAGTCATGAAATGTCATGATGTTTATTACAACTGACACAGCAAAAATGAGCATGTGGTTTAAGGATTATGGCATCTGTCATGACAATTACTGTTAACAGTAACAAAACACTGTTATAGTACTGAACAAAATCTGTCCGGACAACATATGACCCCTGCCACGACATGTTTATGGCATGGTTATGTCAATGTTATGTAGCAGGGTTGAAGTAAAGTCTTACCTTTTAGGTCTTTCATGGTTGAACCCACTTTCTTTAGAAGAATGAATGATTGCAGACGTTTTCGCTGACTACACTATATCTGTATGTTCTTTTTCCTTAAAGATTATGCATGATTTATTTTAATTATGTGATGCTATGATTACAGTGAAAAATATTAGGTGACTCGCCTGCTCTTTGCAGTCAGAACCATGTAATTACTGAAGATGATGTAGTGGCTGGACAGTAGGTAGACTGTTAGTCTTGGAGGCCAGATGTTAACGTAAGTGGGGGCTTTGAGTTTGGCAGGAGAGTTTCTTTGGGGTGTGCAGACCGTAATAGTGGGCGAACGTGCAAGTGTTTTCAGGGGGTTTTGCTGTATTTCAAATTGAAATGACAATCAGTCAAGATTATTGATGTGCAGATGTGTAGTCTCAGTAATATTTGACCCAGTCAGCGCGCTAGAACACTTTCCACCACATTTTTAGCATCATTTTTATTTTATGTGAAATGACTTAAGTCTGTCTGTGTATGCGATTTAAATTGTTTTTTTTATTTATTATCTAATGCACTTCATTGCCTTTCGAGGTTTTATGTTGCATTTAAAATTATTGGTAATAAATCTATTAGATATAACACTTGAATGTTCCAGTCATTTTTATTGCCATAGCTGGTTATTAGTAGCCTAAAAGCCTTTAGTGACACTCATCATTAATATTGCCCTGTGGCTTCTTGTGTTGCTGTAGTTAATCATTTCACTGTGCCAGCAGAGGGCGCTATAGCCCTTTCAACAACTTTACAGTGCACCTGGCTTGTGTGGTAGATATAGTAATTTTTCTGTAGATATTAGGGAATTTTAAGGCCTCAGATTTAAGACCAACTTTAAATCCTGCAGTAAGTTATTGAGTTGTATTAAAGTGTTTTGTCTAGCACCCTATAAAATGTGGTCACATGCAAGAGTTTGGGTCAGATTGTGTTTTGTTGATTTTCTAAACAAAAGTAAGGTAACGTATTGTTCCAAAGGTGCATCTAACATTTTTCTTCAGGTTTATCCCTTCCTATTTATTCATTTTAACCTATAAAGAGTACTAGTATTACATTGGATTCTTTTTATACGTGTTGTTGATTAGTTAAGTTAAACTAAGTTAACAGATCCTGTACAAACAACACACTTCTGCACACTTTAAAGCAAAATTACTGTTTACTTCCCGAATTTAACATTTTGAGCTGGTGGCATAAAATGGCCTGGGCAAAAGTTATGCCACTTTTTTTTTCTAATATGTAAAACTCAACAAAATATTAAGTTTATAGAGCTGCATTTAAGTTACGGTGTGTTCACTTATTTTCACTTTTTGACTGGGGGCGTTCAAACTTGCATACGACTGTACATACTGATTTCATTCTAGACATCAAGGTGTCCGATATGCATTAGTGTGCATTAGTTTTCATGTTGGACTATTAATAATTCCTACAGATTAATACTATAGCTCATAACATTTTGTTACAGGTAATGTATAATTAAATCATTGTGTAGTCAGTTTAAAAGGAAGATGCTGTTGATTTGCTCAAAGGCTATAATTTACTACATACATATGTGCACTGTAAATATCGGGCATCGAGTAGATGTCATGTACAGATACCATCAGTTCCTGCTTCAGCTAATCAACCCTTCATTAACGTAAATCAGGTGCTGCTGATAGATTTTAACAGCTCTGTGTGATGACTGGGGCGTACAGTGAAGTCAAGAATCAATTGTGTTATTCTAACCACAATATGTTACTGTTATTTTTTCAAAGCAGGTCATTTGTTACATGGTACTGTATTTCTGTTTGTGTTTGTTCTAATGTTATGTGTTTTTTTTTTACTGGCAAAAATGCAAGATAAGTAGTTTTAAACTATTCTCATGGATGTCTAAGACTTTGGCACAGTACAGTACGGGTAGTGTGAAGTAGGGTAAGTAAAATTTAGATGGACTTGTACTTTACTGACTTTTCAGACGATTGTATTTCTTTCATTTATACGCAAATGGCTATGTGAGGAAATTAAGCTGATCTTTTATTTTTAGTCATTAACATTTACTTACCAATTCCTTTTTTAGCTGTAAGTTTTGATTATGGTAGGCTGCTGACAGCATCTGTACTGTGATTGGTCACATCTCTGACTTTTGACCAATGATGCTTTAGAAAGACATTCCTACGCTGATAAGTGCAGAGAGCGCCACTGCAGCTCTATAAACTGTTCAGTACAGTAGTTTTTACTACTTTTTGTACTTAAGCTTTTGAAAGGTAATTTTAGTTGAGTGATTAATTAAAGTAACAGTGCTGTTACTTGAGTTAAACATTATGACTGTCCAATTTTGACTGTTACAATAACTTACGTAGCATTGACATTTGGTGGAAATTATGTGTATATATTTAAAGCAAAAGTTTGAGCACCCCTAGTCAAATTGTTTTGTTGATTTTCTAAGTAACGCATCGTCTACAGGGAACAACCCAATTTTTCTGCAGATTGTAGTGAACCATTTCTATTTATTTGCTGAGTTCGACACACTAGGTAAAAAATGAAGCATTACTTTTTCAAAGATTTTATGTTTATTTGCCTCCAGATGTTTAATTCAGTGAGTAAACAATAACTGGGAATTACAATGTGCAAAAATAGACAATGTATTAACTTATTTTCAGATTTTAACAAACAAAGCATGTCATTTGAGCAGAGGCTCCTTGCGTACGACTGTACACTGTTATTGTCTATTTACAGTGGTTTTAAATGTCCAGTTAGTTGCTGGATATAGAGCAGTCTAATTTTGTTCATTTTATATTTGTACTGAATAGAGACTTTTATTTCTGCTGTCATTTCTGCACAGCTTTCTCAATTACTATGTTATTACCTGCAGCTCTGTTTATCACTCTGGAGACGCATCCTAGCGTTTCTTCAGTATTATTTCTTCGTATTTGTTCATTTAAACCTATTAAGTCATCAGTATTGCCTTGAATTCATTTTATACATGTATCTGCAACGAATTTGGTTCGTGCTACTGAAAAACGGCGATTCCTGTATGCTGAACGGTCGTGTGTGTGAGTAAATCTCTGTATTCTGAGTGTGTTTCGTGATCAGCGGAGTAAACAGAGCCAGAGAGCGTCATGACGTCACTCCGTTGCGTGACTCGGCGCTGATCCTCCGCAGGCAGAAGCGGAGCTGTGCGGGTCAACAGCAGCAGCAGCAGCACCACCGCGCTCAGAGATGCGCGACTGAACACGGCTGTGGATGTGAGGAGTGTTCAGGTTATTAAATAGGAGCTTTCTTAGTGTTTCGGTCGTCCCGGGCCGGGGGGATGCTGAGCCCCGGGTCCCACACTTTGCCACAGCGATCATAAGGAGCTCTGCACCCGCAGCATGTCTTCTGCACGGAGAGAAGCGCAGAGCACACCGAGGGCCTCGCTCCTCACCCGGGCTCTCCTACTCACCACCATCGCTATCGGCTCTACTATGGCAGGTGAGCAGCTCGGTGGACGCTTACACTGAAAAAAATAGTGCGTTGGATTGAGAGAAACGTGTACATCGTGAATAAGATATGATCCAGCTGTTTTCAGTTATTCAGATTGTGTTAATTAATATATAATATTCATAATGAATTCATGAAGAATCAGATAGTTTAAAGCACTGTTTACGCAGCACTTACATTATCATAATTCCTGTTTCTTAGTTATGTTGGTGTAATATTTTATTCATGTATTTTGGATGCCCAGATCTATTTCTTCAGCTTATTTTACCCGCTGTTTTTGCCTTATCTGCTAAATGTGGCCTCAATTCCTTATTTAACTCCTGTTTGCTTGTAGAAAATTGGGAATTTGTAGTGTTTATTCTGTTGACAAGACAGGACTGCCCGTTATTATTTATTGCAATAAATTATAATTAACCCTACTGAAAAAAAAACAAAAAAACAGTGGGTTTATGCTGGTCTGCTGCTGGTTTAGCTTGTCACCCAGCATGGTCATGCTGGTTGACCAGCATACCAGCATCTACAGCACAACATATGCTAGTTTTGCTGGTAATTAGCATAATCACTTCCAGTGCAGCTGACCATCATACTAGCATCCCAAACACAACATATGCCCTTTTTGTTGGTGACCAGCATATCAGCTTCCATTGCTGCTGACCAGCATACTAGCATCCAAAACACCACATGTATTGGTTTTGCTGGTAATTAACAGAATAACTTCCACTGCATGCTGGTCTATGTTGTTTTTTTCTAGGAGGGAAGATCATGTAAACAACAAAAACTGGCCTGTCCAGTGATTCAGACAACATTGTGAATCTCCATGCCCTGAATGGACTGTTTAACCTTATTTGTGACTAAAAGCCCTGGTAGTTTGGGTCTCTGTTACTAACCATTAGTATAAGTGAGGCCTAATGAACGCACCCTGGTTCATGAGGCTAAGATGCTGAGGCAGACCAGAGCTAAGTGTGCTCAGGCAAGGCCAGATCCATCTGGCTGGGGGGAAAACAGATTAGCCATGTGTGACGCAAGTGTGGGAGATGTGGGCCCGCTGAACTGTCATCAGCAAAGGCCCAGAGTGGCCAGTAAGACTAACGCAGACTTCAAACAAGCTTGGCTTTAATGTTTCATCTGGCCCTCAGTGCTTCTCAGAAAGCTTTTATCAATCACAGCAATATTGTGATATGTAGCTTGTGGCGTATGTCTAGTAATGCACAGGGAATTAAATCATCTTCTTAATAAATGTTTACATAACCGTTATCCATGTGAGTGTCTTCTGCCTGTTGAAAATATGAATTTTTGACTTGAAGGCTTGAGTAGTTAAAGGTTTAATTAAAGGTGGACACTGGCCAGAATAAAAAAGTCTCTATAGCTGTTGTGAACAAGCCTCCTCGCTTCTTACAGCAGTCTCTAAAGTGAAATCTCCCAGTTTAAAGACTTGGAAAACCCCTTCGGATGACACATTAAAGATGGCAGGAACTTTTGACTGCAGCTGCTTTGGGGTGGATTTTTTTTGAGGTTTGAAGTGCCAGTGCTAGCCTGTTTGTACCCATTAGCCTGTAGATCCGTGGCTGGGCTAGCAGTCAAGATTGCTTGACACCACAGGGATTTCCAGTGGTTTTATGGTGTATTTGAGTAATGCATGCTGGGTATTGCAGTAAGAGAATGCTGGTAAGCAAAAACATAAAAAATTGTGAATTCTCTCAAGCATATGAGGCTGAGATATGGATGGCTGTGCTACAGAATACTGCATAACTCGATAAATAACCTGTTAAATTCCAGTTTTAGGCTGGATTGCCCCCTTTAAGAAACACACCCACCCACCCTGCCTGGGGTTTCTTTCGAGTGTTGCTTGTTTAAGCTCTTATCTACATGGAAACTGGCAATCAGGGTGCTGGAAGAACGTGAATCAGTAACACGTTCTTTGTGTCACCCCGGCATGCTGACGTTTAGATAGCAATAGAATCAGCATCAAACGCCATAACCCTCCCAAATGCCCCAGCCTGAGATGAACATTCAAGCCTACAGACCACCAAAAATCCTTATACATATTAATATCAGATGATAGCACATGTTAAAAACAATTACATCTACAGCAGCAACCCCCACTCACATGCTTTTTACGAGCCCGCACGACCCTGTTTGATCAACTAATTCAATCTCGATCTCTTATCTCTGCTTCTGCTGCTGATAGGACAAATCTGAGCTCTGCAGTGTTTGTGTTTCCATGGCGCATGTTCTGAGAGCCAGTGCTTGCTAAGTACGAGCAATGCCGTGTCTTGGCACGAGCCGCTTTCTTCTGTTGCCTAGCAGGAGAGCTTTCTTTATTGAAGCTCACTGTCAACATGACAGAGTGTAGAAGAACGAAGCGTATCCTCAAAGAGGTTGTTTTGTAAGGGAAGTGCAGACGTCGCTTTAGGTTGAAGTTTTATAAATATTTTATCACGTAAAGGCATAGTTCAGCAAAAAAATCAAATGTAGACAATTCTTTGGACAGTTATGTGCTGTATTGGCTAAAAACAGCAGTAGAAGCCACATTAAAACTTCAGTATTGTCAGCATTTGTCCATTTTTTTTATAGATAACAGTATATCATACAGTGTCAGAATCCACTTAAGCAAGTGCAATTGAGATTGACAGCTCAACGCAGTTTAAGGTAAATGTGCATGATGCTAATGGCTGGGCTGTAAGCTTCCATTACATGTTGGCTACATTTGTAGCTCCTGTGCAAAACTAACTGTAGAATATAGGCCTTTTAATATGACAGATCTTTAAAAATCTCTTGAGAATTGTACAGAGGGTCAAATAACGTGATATTGTATTATGGTCTCTCTAATAAATCCCATCCCAAGTGTCTGCACAGCTGTGACAAACATTGTGACTCTCTGAAGTAAGTTTAAAGAGCCAGTGTCGTGGAGTAAAAGAGCCTGTTTTTGCAGTTTAGTTGACATACATCACAAACACAAGTCTGATCTAGACTTTTGTGACTTTTTGTGATGTCACAAAAGCCAACTCATTTAAATATAGCCGCCTTTTCAGCCTAGATCAGTTTAGTTCTGCCCATTCACGCTTAAGTTATAAGAAGTGCTTTAGTTTGGATTGCTCTTTGGATGTGGCACAATGTAGGGCAGCCAATCGGAGCAGGGTTAATTTACATATATCAGTCTCAAAGGAACAATGTGAGCCCTGCTTGATTCTAAGATAAAGAGAGGTTGGAAACGGTGATATAAAATTGGATTATGACTGTTTAGGTATAAAACCCCACACAAACAATATAACATCAGGGGGAAAATACACAAAAATATAGGATATGTGTCCTTTAAGGTATGTTTTTATGAAAGCAGGTCAGCTCCAGAACCAGTGGGTCTGGGAGATTAAACCAATCATGAAATGATGGCATGTAGACAAATCCACTTTCATCAGCCATCATGGCACATAACGAGCTTTAGGCACAGTGCGAGATGATTCATTTCGTAGAGGGTTGCAAGCTGAGAAGACTGTTCGCACGCCTCAGAAAAGCTGTGAAGCAAGTGATTAAGCCGGTTTGGGCTGAGAATTTGCACCACTTGCATAACCGTGAGAAGAAAAATCTCAAGATTGTGATGTTTACTGCTCTTACTTTGTCTTCTTCATCAGTTAGCATTGAACCTGTCAGCTTCATCACATTCATATTCATCAGCTTACATTAGCTCTTTTTATTTATGTGTTATAACTGCTTATTACAGATTAATGAAGTGTTTATGACCTAACTAATATCTATTAACAAATTAATTTTAAACCATAAACCCTTTATAAGGGTAGTCCTATTTTAAAGTGATGCTGAAAACAGCACAGACAATACAGCTGCTTTTGGAGAAATCATGCCAGAGAAAGTTATGCAACCACAAGAAGAGCTTATTGATCATTTGGTTGGAATGAGGAGGCTGAGGGTTTGGTATTGATCTTACAGAGGAGAGAGATGCAGGTGGAAGGAGGAGAAAAGCATAATAGGACTGTTTTGGGTTCTCTCTGAGGGCTAGATAACTGCTACTAAGGGTTGAATCACATCAGCTTGGAGCCACAGTGTGAGAAAGTGGCTAAAGTATTAAAATATGAAGAGCTAAAACACATCCTGAGATGAGCTGTTAAAGAAAGTGTTTTTTTTAGTTTGGCTGTGTGGTTTGGTCAAAAATCTAATTTACATGTCTCTCCCTTACCTCAAATGTAGATCAGTCAAGACAAGCTGCACACCTCTTGCCTCAAATTAGACCTTTTCTTTGTTTTACACAGGGGCTCAGTCATGCTGGGCCCTCCCTATGCATACTGTTGCCACAAAGTTGGAAACCAAACTTTCCTAGGCACAAGGCGTTTTGAGAGGTAGTGTTCTCCTGGCATCCAGTCAACCCAGGTTGATCCATCCTCTGCCAGACAGTGAAATGTTGCTTCCAGAAGCAATTTAGAACTCTGTAGTGAGTGATGCAACACAACTTCTACGTGCTTCAGCACTGGGCAGTCCCGCTCTTAGAGTTTGTGTGGCCTAACACTTCGTGGCTGAGCTGTTGTTGCTCCTCAATGCTTCCATTTCACGGTAGCGCTTACAGTTGACTAGGGCAGATCCAGCAGGGCAGAATATTTAATGAACTGACTTGTGGCAAAGGTGGCATCCTATGTCAGCCACCTCCAGTGTTTGCCTCTAGAGGTTGCATGGTTTTAAACTTGATTTTATTCACCTGTTAGCAATGAGTGTGACTGAAACACATGAATTTAATAATTAGGAGGAGTGTCCTCATATTTTTGGCCATATGGTGTGTCTATTAGAGTGACATTTTTATAGACAACTATGTTATACAGTGTCAGACACCACATAAGCAAGTCAATAAGTCTATCTGAGGTTACTTTAAGTGACACGTTTTGCTAGCTGGCTGAATATTAACTGAAATTCTGATAAACAATTGTGGATTGTGCTGCATCACACCACAGATGTCTTTATTAGCCTATAGATCTAGCAGTTATGGAAGA